TTCACTCCACACCAAATGGACCTTGACATGACCTACAAGCGGCAGGCCTGCCATGGTATAACAATGAAACAGCTACTGAGAAATGTGGTCTCCTTGGAGACCACACAATCTATTGAGTTAGTGTCAACTGAAACAAAGGTGCATGTATTTTTTAAAAGGCTTTAGTTCTCTCCAAATAAAAGCCAAAAGATCTTTTGGCATCAAGTTTATGGAGAAGAGTTTCACCAGGATAGATAAGTGGGTGTGGAAGAATGCAAGCAAGAGGACTGAATGATTGAAGCAGAACTCAATTACCATCTTAGGCCATTATCTGATATTTGTCCATAACACTATCTTACTTTTGAAGGATTTCGTTTAAAGTGAACAGTCATTAGAATGTGAAACTCAATCACTGAGTGGAAGTCACTGTAACCCGAAAAGTGATTTACCATATAAAAAACTTTGATTTCACAGGTTACCAAGTGGTTTGACAGTAGCTTTCATCAGTTCAGTTAAAGTCATATTAACAACCCATGACACAAGGGTTTTTCTAATTTTAAAATGTGTCACGTGCCACATTATCCTAATGGTTCTGAAGGATCAGTTGATTACCTACTTAAGGATAAGGATAATTGAAAATAAGGATCATTGAACATCCTCTCCTAAGTTTAGTTAGAACCTTTGCTATCAGAGATAATGGATACATATGTAAACTTACCTCAGCAGTGAATAAAACCAGTGTCTGTTGGCAGTGAATTTTCTTTCTGGTGCCTCGTGAAGAACACTGGTATTTTGTACAGAGGTGTTCTGGAAAATCCTATCTCCAGTGTTTCCCCACTTGATAAATCTACCACAACATTCTTGTGCTTCATTACTGATCAGCTTAGCTTCTTTCCATGTATGGGTTTTCCTTTCCTGTCTGAGTGCCAACTGACAATGTCTTAAGACAGCATCCAAATTCTACACTTGCAATGCTTCTTGACACAGGAGAGATGTACTTATTCCACCCTGCTTATCTGCTAATAACATGTTCACCTGGCAATTCAATCAGGATCTGTTTTTGGAACACTACATTTACAAAGATCTTAGCTATCATGGACAATGTAGGTCCTCAAGATGGACTGTAAACATTGGGAACCTTCATTCCAAACCTCCAAGCATTTTAAATCAGGGTGAGGAACAGAGATCTCTCTAAGGGTATGTCTTCACTAGCAACGTTAAAGTGCTGCCGTGGCAGTGCTTTAATGTGGCGGTGTAGTCGTGGCACCACTGGTTAAAAAAAACAAAACACTTCCATGAGGGGAGTAGCTACCAGCGCTGGTGCATGGTCTAAATTGGAACTTTACAGCACTGAAACTTGCAGTGCTCAGGGGGGTGTTTTTTCCACACCCTTGAGAGAGAAAGTTGCAGCGCTGTAAAGTGCCAGTATAGACAAGCCCTAAGATGTGCACCTGAGAGGACATGCAGTAGTCTGCCTAGCCTTGCAAAGTGCTCAGCAAGTGCCATTCAACACGGGCAGCCAAAACAGCTGCAGAGTGGGAGCTCGAAACTGGGCTCCCTTCGCTCTCTTTGCTGTAGTCTCAGAGCAGTGAGTGTGAGGGGAGCCCAGATCAGAGCTGCAATTCCTTACCATGCCTAAAATGTGGGAGGCAGAACCAGTACAGGCCTGCAGGGAGAATGAGTGAGGATTTCAGTGCTTTCCTTCCCCTCCCACTGTCTCCAACCACCACATAAAAGGCTTCAAAAATCCATTTGCAAGATGTGAATAGGAATTTGGAATGAATAAATGGCAATTAATTGATCTTTGATTATTAGCAGGTAAATACGTCCAATGGCCTGTGATGGGATGTTAGATGGGGTGGGATCTGAGTTACTACAGAGAATTCTTTCCTGGGTGCTGGCTGGTGAGTCTTGCCCACATACTCAGGGTTTAACTGATCGCCATATTTGGGGTTGGGAAGGAATTTTCCTCCAGGGCAGATAGGAAGACCTGTCAAAAAAAAATTCTGCCAAACTGATGAAGGTCTTTAAACCACGATTTGAGGACTTCAATAACTCAGACATAGGTTAGGGGTTTGTTACAGGAGTGGGTGGGTGAGATTCTGTTGCCTGCGTTGTGCAGGAGGTCAGACTAGATGATCATAATGGTCCCTTCTGACCTTAAAGTCTATGAGTCTATTACTGGATCCAGAAAGCAGAGCACAGCAAATGGAACTGCTGGTTCCTTCCCTGCAGGAAAGTAACAAGTCTAGGAGAAACGGAAGATGGAACGGGAACAGAGTGGCTCAGGAACTTTTGAATGGAGCATGTGGGGAGTAGCTGGGAACAAGCCTGTGAATGCATGTGGTTGAGCAAATTGCTGCAGGTATGAATGAATGTATAAGCAGATGGGCTCCTTCACCTGCTCCAGAACAGAGTCCACACAAAAGTTGTGTCATGTTGAAAGTTACCTTCATCACTAGCTTTTGGTTGTATTCACAAAAGGGATTAAAATAAGCCACCACAAAATCCAAGTTTTCTGTCCAGTCTTGGCTTCTCCCCTCTGTCCAAGTCTGACAACTAATATAATTTGCTTAAATGAAGGCGTCAGGCTAATCAATAGTTTATGGTGTTCCAGGGGTCAAGTAGCTGGTTTATCAGCACAAATACAATTGAAACTGAGGTAGCTGGAGGCCTTGGACAGTTGCAGTCTCAGGGGTAGATGGCAGAGCTAGCTGAAAGCTGGGAATTCAGTAGGCTCTTGGTGCAGACTTGCCTTGGCACTTACAGAAAGGGAATGCCTGGCTTGAAAAAGTGTCTGTTTTGAAAACAACCAGAGGGTCAAAGATGATGTCTGAGCTTCAACATGTTCTGTTGACACACACGCACTGGGTCTTGCTGATGCTGCCTCCAGGGTATCAAGGAACAGCTTTGGGCCTCACATGTTGGGCCTGTGCAACTGTGGGAGGTATCAATACAGAGTCTCGATACCCAGCTGTTACTCTTGATTCTGGGTCACTCAAAGCCAAAAACTTCAGGCCCTCTGGGCCGATTTCACATTAGACTTAAATGAAACGTGAGAGGAGACCGGGGAGCTTCCTGATGCTCTGTCTATGACTTGATGGTTTACAGTGACATTGCCAGCAAATCTCAAAGTTAAGTTGGTCAGTCTGTTCTGAAGCACATAATTCAGTAGTTAGGCCTGTCCAAGAAGAACATGGTCTGGACAGTTTTTTATAATAATATTATTATTAATTATTATTATTTCTTTGGGCTTTCCATACCTGCAAGGCTTCAATGGGACTTGTGCTCCTGAGTCATTTAAGTGCTTAAGTCACAAACTCCTATCCATAGGTGCCTAAATATGGAGTTAAGAACCCAGTTTGGCTCCTATTTTTGAAAAAAATTGGCCTAATTCCAATATTAAGGTACCTAAATAAAAGTGGCTAGTTTTTCAGAAGAGCTGCTCCTATAAGAACATATTGGGTCAAACCAATGGTCTGTCTTCCAACAGTGGCCAATGCCAGGTGTCCCAGAGAGAATGAACAGAACAGGTAATCATCAAGTGATCCATCCCCTGTTGCCCATTCCCAGCTTCTGGCAAAGAGAGGCTGGGGACACTTCAGAGCATGGTTTTGCATCCATGCCTATCCTGGCTAATAGCCATTGATGGACCTATCCTCCATGAACTTAACTAGTTCTTTTTTGAACCCTATTATAGCCTTGGCCTTCACAACATCCTCTGGCAAAGAGTTCCACAGGTTGACTGTGAGTTGTGTGAAGAAATACTAACTTTTGTTTGTTTTAAACCTGCTGCCTATTAATTCCATTTGATGATCCCAAGTTCTTGTGTTGTGAGAAGGATTAAATAACACTTCCTTATTTACTTTCTCCACACTAGTCATGATTGTATAGACCTCTATCATATCCCCCCTTATTCGTCTCTTTTCCAAGCTGAAAAGTCCCAGTCTTCTTAATCTTTCCTCATATGGAAGATGTTTCATACCCCTAATCATTTTTGTTTTCCTTTTCTGTACCTTTTTCAATTCCAATATATCTTTTTTGAGATGGAGTGACCATATCTGCATGCAGTATTGAAGATGTGGGCATATCATGGATTTATATAGAGGCAATATGATATTTTCTGTCTTATTATCTATCCCTTTCCTAATGATTCCCAACATTCTGTTATCTTTTTTGACTGCCACTGCACATTGAGTGGACACCTAAATTTCAGCACCCAGGTCTGAACATTTTGGGCTTAGTACAGGTATTAGTATTTGCCATCCAAATATTTACCTTACAATTATTTTAGAGTAATCTTTGCCATCTATATTGATGGAATATATTCATACAATAAGATCTCATCTAACATACAAATGAAGAAACACCTATTTAAATCAATTTAACTTATCCCAAGACCACTGTTTCTTGCTACTAAAAAGTGATAAATGAATTGCTAAGTGCAGGGGTTTAATATTGTGAAGTAGATTCTAACTTGAAAAAGGGAACAAGGATCACAAATGTGCATTAAGTTTTAAGATATTGTCACTAAGATAAATGGGCTATCTTCATATCAAACTTAATAGACAATGAAATTGATAACACTAATATATATTTGTTAACAGTTTGAATGCACTAGAAAAACAAATGGCAACAAAATAGGGAAATCAACTTAAATACAATCTTGTGAGACAAAGCTAGTTAGCTTTATTTAGCTAGATCATTCATTGGACTAAAACAGAAAAACGAAAAGAGCTGTCTTGAGGCAAGCATTCTTTGCCTATCGCTTGCTTTGTGAAAATCTACTTTTTGGAAAATGTCTCTCCAAATCTGAAAAAAAAGTCTGAATTCTGATACTAAATCAAATATAAACAGACACTACTGACCAGACTTGATACTTGCTAGGGTCTCTAGAACATAAAATGCTGAAATAATTATGTAACTTGCCATTAAAAGAAAAATTATTTTAACATTTGGCAATTCATTTGAGTTCACTAACAGAATCTGAAACCTGCTCATAACATGATCAAATCACTTACTTCTTAGATTTCCCATTCCAAGAGCCAGACTCATTCTGGGAGGCAGAGTGCTGTGATATGGTGGGGTGGTGCTGAACAAAATATCGTTTGGCAAGGCTTGATCAAGCATTGAACTCCGTGAGCTAGCATATGAAGATCCTCTCCGATTACTACATATGCTCTCATCAGAAAGGGTGCGATAAAGTGTCCTCCTTGGAGATAGGTTTCCATAAAATGAAAACTAAATATTAAAATAGTTTTAGAAAGATGAATTGGTAAAGAAATGAAAATAATGACATATTTTACTAGTTAAAATAATTTATATGATATTGTGAAAACTCTTGTAGTATTTCTGTAAGCAGGCATAAAATATCATTTTGGAATTCTTGAACTTGCAATAGAAGATCAAATATTAGTTCCAACACGTCAACTCTCCTGCAGCCTCAATGGAGTTATTGGATTGGATTTTTATATTTCCCCTTGACATTTTGGAACACAACACCATGAATTAATTAGATACTGCGTTGTTTTATTAATTCTGAAATGTTAAATGAAATCTCCATAACCCTCTGACAGTAATGGCTTCCAGAAATTAATATATAAGGTTACCATCTCTGGCAACATTTATTCAAGACCATACATAGGACTGTTTGATTTTAATTTGAAATGACTAGGTTTTAATATCAAGCCATTCTGAAGTGATCAACTATATGTGAGGTGCAATCTAATTTATATGACAATAAAGCTGATTTAAAGCATTATAGCTGTCTAGATAACATGAAATACGCTTAAAACAAGATAATAGAGTTCAGTGAAAGCGGTTTTATCTTTTAGAAAATTAGTTAAAATACCATCTAAATATCTAAAGTAAAATTATATCTGATTGCCCTAACTGGATCAAATTTGGCTATTTTACTTAAGAACCCTTTAATTCTAGAGCAGTGCAAAAATAGTTACTCTGCATGTCTACAGAGGCAATTTATTTGTACAAATGATCTTAAACTGGTATTCCTTACTTATAAGAGTCCAACATCCTGACCTGCTTTCTTTATAAATAGTTTAGGCAGCACACTTCCTATGCTGGATACACATCAAGTATGTATAGAAGCAGTGGCTTTTTTAAAACAGTGAATGTAGTGCCAGAGTTAAAAATATCTACATTGTTGTATTTCTGACAATGTCTTCCTAACTGATGAATACTTCTCAAAGAAACAGAGGGAAACATTCAGTCATGCAAAAGGATAATATACTATGTACAAAATAGTTTAATATACACTAGGGCCTCATTTCAGGAAAGTATCCCTCTTCAGGACAGCACTGAAGCATGTACTTAACTTTAAGCATGTGCTTAAGTCCAACTGAAGTCAATGGGGTTTAAGCAAATGCTTCAGTGCTGTCCTAAAGCAGGACTTAAGCACATGCTGAAATTTGTTCCAGAGTCAGGGTCTAAGTACTACTATATTCTTTCAATATCTAGACCCTGATTCTGGAAAAAATGTAAGCATATGCTTAAGTCCATCCTGCTTTAGGACAGCACTGAAACATTTGCTTAACTCCCACTGACTTCAGTTAGACTTAAGCACATGCTTCAGTGCTTTCCTGAAGAGGGATGCTTTACTGAATTTGGGCCCTAATGTGTATTGAACTATTTTTTACAGAGTATATTTCCCTTTGAATGATTGAATGTTTCCCTCTGTTTCTTTGAGAAGTATTCATCAGTTAGGAAGAACTGTCAAAAAAAAAAAACAATGTAGATATTTTTAACTCTGGTGCTAAATTCACTGTTTTAAAAAAGCCACTGCATCTATACTTACTTGATGGATATCCAGAATAGGAAGTGTGCAACCTCAGTTATTTATAAAGAAAGCAGTGTAGACAGCGTCTTAGAGTCAGAACTGCAGTCCAATTAGTTATTATATTAATAATGCGTCATTGTAGGAAAAATATAATAAATAAAAATTCTCAGCTATTATTCCTAAACTTTCAGAGATTTTATAACTATATATGTATTTAACTTAATACATGTTAAAAATAAACAATCTGACTTCTTTTACATTAAATTTAGCACGGATGAGGTTCCCACATGTTACCTATTTACACATGATGAACATGTTCTTTAGTATGTATTATAGACATAGTGGATTAAAGTACCATTGAGTTAATATCTATTTAAGAGCATTACCTCAAGTAATTAAATTGCTTGTGGTGCCATTTCCTATTATGCAAAAAATGCATTGTCACTGGTATTTGCTGTTCAGAAAGCATACTGTAAGTTCAATATCAGTACTTTAATGAACTTTTTAACATGAACAACATTGTCTTTGTATGACAAAATCAGATCACAGCTTTCTGTGAGCAGACTATGAGACCTTTCCAACTAACTACTTATAATTAATATCTGTATGTCACTGACTCATACAAATTTCAAATGGGAATTGCTGTTGCTGGGAACCATGAAAGCCATGCCACTTTATTCAATTGCCTAACTTTAGGCACTTAGGTTTTAAAATACTGACCTCAGTCTTTGGACTTATACTCAAAATTAACTAGGTGTTTGTATTAAAAAGCTCAGCTTTTAAATTTGAGCAGAAGCATGCTTAACACACACTGAATTTAATCCACAATTGCCAAACACTAGGTATCATTTTAGAGAGCAGGGGTATGCATATTATGTGAATTACTGTCAGAATTCATAGTTCCTGCCGAATATGTTTGGTTTATATAGAATGATCTTGTCTAGTCTAAATCAATTTCAGAACTAAAAGTAGATGATTTCCGGGTAATTGCCTCTTATACGTGTAGAGCCAAAAAAGAGTAGCTCACCTTTCTTCTACCCTCCTCCATAGTGAGACTATCTGGCAGCATCAGCTTCAGAAAATCTTCTTTGGACAAGACTTGCTGGCTTTCAGTAACTGCACTCCTCACAGAAGTCTGAAGCTGACTTGATGCAGACATAGCATCATCCTCACCATACAGTCTGCTGAAACAATTGGTATATTAGTATGGTAAGAAGTACTGGTCATGGATTTACAATACTGTATTTATTTTCATTTATGAAAACTAAAAGTTGCTGTATGAATCTCCCTCTCTGCATAGTGCATTGTTTACCATCTCTCCCAATCATTTTAAATTTATGAATTAGTTTCAGTTTCATGATGGAATTTTTAAATTATTCAAAAAGTACTGAATTCCCAAGAAGCATCTTTCTCAAAGCCTGCACTTTTCTTTTGTGCACATTACACTTCTCTATTGTCTTGTTTAAACTTAAAATATTTTGATCTGTGATAAATTATTAAACTTCTGCTTCCTGAGCAAATAAGAAAATCAATATCTTGTGGTGTGAAACTGTACGCAACATCACAATCTGACAAAATTATCATGGTTCATCACTGGTAGCGCCGAAAGTTCACTTGTAATCAATTCTGCCATGTGCCAAGCGCGTTTTATTATCAGCAATTTCACAAAGCTGTTTGGATAAATAAAACAGGTGTCTTCTTTAATTATCAGCATACAAAAATATATTTACATTCAACAAAAGCCTGTCAAACTGAATTACTGTCTTTCAGCTCCCTTCCAGCAAGAAAGGAGAGAGACGATCTTAAAAGGTTTACTCTGGAAATGGAATCTGAGGAGCTGGAGATTCCCGAACACACAGTGCATACATTTGAGACCAATTATCTACTGCCAAGTACAACATAATCAGCGACGGTATCCTCAGCAGAGAGGAAATAGGCTTTGCTATGGTAAATTGTAATTCTCAGTGAATGATGTCTTACGGTGGCACAACCTTCAGCAAATGACCTGATTTTCATCACCACTGCTAATTTGAGATGCTATTTTATTTCAAACTAATTATCTTTGAAATAGAGTCCCTTCCCTCCCCACACCCACCCCTCATGATGCATGGAAAGCTTTCCTAGAGAGAGAAAAAGTTAAGCATTGAGCTAATGCATAGAAAATTTATGAGAATATTTTTTTGATATGTGCAGTGTGGCCATCTTTGATTCACACTTTTCAGATGGAGCTAGTCCTCACAGACATTTTTCAAAGTTCCTGGGTTTTTAGTCCAAAGGGAATGCTTAATTATGCAGTTTTCAATAAAAGTTTTCATTTCAAAACAGTGAAAAAGGTTGCAGGATCTCATTATGCAGAGGCCTGTGGGACAAAAGAGACTGCCACACTTTTAAAGAGGCAGCACTCTTATGACTGAACAATTTAGTGAAAGTGTGCTTATTCATAATATTAAGGCAAAACAAATGTGCAGAACACGAAGGCCACAACTGGGAGCAGTTGGTGCTCATTACTTTTGAAAATGAGGCAAGTGTTGAAATATGGTTTTAAAGAGACTAAAGTTAAGCTCCTAATTTTGAATATATAAAATTTTGGCCTACATTTTTACTATAGAGTTGGCTATAAATATTATGTAATATATATGAAACATTTACAACATTCTAGATTTAATATTCATTTTCCCCTCCCACAGAATAAAGGATAGTCCACATATTACATTTATAAATAAACTACTGCATGCGTCTTGCTGCCAGTCTGCCAAGATAAACAGTGCTTTCTACTATATAGAAGGAGGCAGAATCGGTTATTTATACTCAATAAGGAAGTAAGGGGATCATGGTACATGATTTTGAAGATAAAAAGAACACACTTTTTTATTATTATTATTACATGGCAGATCCTTGCTCCTATTATGCTGGTACAATAGGAAGGATGCAAAGCACCAGCTGTAACCAAATTTGAGTAACTGCACCACATTCTGAACCAAGGCTTTCACTTCTGCACAAGAGGAAGAAGTTCCTCCTGAGCTTTCCTAGTGCCAGGCAAGATACACTGCTGTTTATTAGAGGTGGTTGGAACATTTTCAGCAAAATGAAATTTTACTGAAATATGCTGTTTCGTTGAAGCCAAAACATTTCAGAGATTTATAGACTTTAATCAAGTTTTTGAGAGAGATGTGCACTCACCAAGCGGTTATGGCCCTGATCTGAATTGTGGGAGACCTCGGTTCAAGTCCCTGCTCTGCCTGATTCAGAGCACACCATCCTAGATCACTCTGAATCAGGCAGAGCAGGGGCTTGAAACTTTGCCTCCCACATCCCTGGCCAGGGTCCTGACCACATACACATACATACACCTGCACCACAGCCCACCCTGTCTTAAGTGTTTGTTTGAAAACAGACATTTTGATAATTCCATTTCCATGCAAGTGGTGTAAAGGGTTTGTTTTCATTCCAATCCACAATGAATACCGAAACCTCCAAAAGTGCCACAAAATGAAATATCATCTGGCTCCAATGTTAATTAACCAGCGCCTTCTTCTTGGAAACAGTTCCAGTAAGGGGACGGTATGTGCCCAGGATTGGAAAGCAGCTGGGACTCCTCAATCCTTTTGAAGTTTCCTAGCTCTAGAAACAATTGCTGCAGGGTCCAACGCTCAAATCAGATAGACCTCTGCTTCCACTAAGTTCCACATGCCTGCAGCTCCACATCTCTGCTCTTGAGTGTTTTTTGGAGATTTGGGGGGCTATTTCTGAGGCAGGGCCTGGATCTTCAGTATTTCTCTGCCATTTTTTTCTCCTTCTTACATCTAAGCAGAACTGAGTAGTTTTTCTATGCGCAAGAGTCAAGTCAGAGAAGAAATAAATGCCCAAATTGTGAGAAACCTCCACTCCCAAGACTGAGGGCAGGTCTTCACTACCCGCCAGATCGGCGGGTAGTAATCGATCTATCGGGGGTCGATTTATCGCATCTAGTGTAGACGCAATAAAAATCAATCCCCGATCGCGCTCCCCGTCGACTCCGGAAGTCCAGCTCGCGAGAGGCGGAAGCGGAGTCGACGGGGGAGCGGCAGCGGTCGACTCGCCGCCGTCCTCACGGCCAGGTAAGCTATTTGTGTAGCTGAAGTTGCGTATCTTAGGTTGACCCCCCTCCGCTATGTAGACCTGGGCTATGTGTGGCCTTTTTATCAGTGCCCCAGGACCATCCACGGCAGGATTAAAGCAATTGAGGCGCTCCACTACATAGTGCACTCTGTGGCTTCATTCCTATGCCATGACCCTGCCCTCCTCCCCCACTTGGAGTGACAATGGGACATCAGGGATGGGTAGTGGCACGGAGTCCCTATCTAACCTCCAAGAATAGTAGCAGTAGTTCCAGCAGGGTTCCAGTACTTAGCTCAGCAGCCTGGGAGTATTTAAATTGGATGAATGAACGGGTTGGGCACACTGCATTTTCTTCCTACCATACACACAGTCCTCTGTTGGGATACTGCTGGCAGGGCCCCCTACTATTTTCAGGTACAGCTTAGTACCCCCTTGAGATAATGGGGCTGTTTGCACTCTCACAGCTATTCTGTCGTGGTCTCTGCAGACTATGGCAGACATTGTTGCATCAGTTATGGTCAGTTAATGTTTTCTAGTTTTCTTTTGCAGCTATAAAGGCTAGAAATATTTTTTAAAGTGAAAATTGTAATTCTGATGTAATTACATAATTCCAGGAACTGGGGAATATTCTAACACAGGAGTGGGGGTGTCCCTCCACAAAATGACTCAAAAGCAACACTAATTTCAATTGACAAGACTCAAGGTTTTTTTTTTTTAATCTCCACAATACTCTTCTTTTTTTCATCTCAAACCAAAACCAGCATAGAGAAATCTTGAATTAAGGTTTATAGAGCTGGGGCCCTTGGGTCCTAACCCAGAGGTTATATCCAGGAGCAACCTTATTTAGAACCCCTTCAATGAAAGTTAAGCTTTTTGGAGAATCGTTTGAGAAGATATGAGATTCTCCAGACCTGAATGGAGTTATGCCTAACTAATCCTCTTCAAGATGGAATTTCATGTCTTTACAACACAACTGTAATTTTTGGCCAGATTAACAATGCCAGTCCTTTCTCTCATTTTGCTTCACTGGGTAAAAGGGAGGAGGTTCAACAGGAAAGAAATGAAGAGAGAAAAAGGAGGGAGGAGGCAAGAGGACCCTCCAAACAATGATTTTCTTTCACCTGTGTCGAGATCTCTGGTACATAAAGGAAGAATAAAGCCAAATATTTCAAATAAAACTGAAGACAAGGAGAGGCATTTTATACTTTTCAAATAATGAGAAAGTTAAAAACTTTCCCCACACAATTTATAAACTTTCTAAAATAAGAATAAACAAAAATCTTACTCTTCAGATTCTTCAGGTGTAGGGCTGCCTTCTGACTTTTTCCAACCAATGACGTATTTGCTCACTGCTCCTTGTCTGTGGTGTGATTTTGATACAGACCCAGAGATCTGTTGACCACTATTCTGTGACACTATGTAGACTTTGGAGGTATCTAGAGAGCCACTGTTTTTAGAACAATGTGCTGATGGGCTTCCTGAATGGTGAGACCCACTGAAAAGGAACACAGAACGAAATCTGCAGTGCAGTAAAATATCAAGGACTCGAGATTACAGCCAGCTATGCAACCATAATTCTCTCTTTTAAATTTTCTTTAATACATTTTATATATAGCTAAATTACAGCTATCAACGCTCCGAGCACACATTCATGAACACACACATGTGTACACGCTCAGAAAGACTTAACAAGACGACCATTTTCTATCATTGAACCTATTGCAATGACCAGGGCCGGCTCTAACTTTTTTGTCGCCCCAGGCAAAAAAGAAGAGCGCCGCCCCGCCATAACACCCCCCCCCCCAGCGCCGCGCTGAACCCCCCCTCCCCCCGAGCGCTGGGCCGGGCCGCCCAAACCCCTGCACCCCCCCGAGCGCCGCCCAAACCCCCGGAGCGCCGGGCCGCGCCACCGAAGGACCCCCCCCCCAAGTGCCGCGCTGCCGAAACACCCCCCGCGCTGCCCAGCCGAAACAAAAACAAAAAACCCTCGAGCGCCGCCCTGCCGAACAACAACAAAAAATAAAAACACTGCGAGCGCCCCCCGCCATCCCAACATTGGCTGCCCCTTCTAAGGTGCCGCCCCAAGCATGTGCTTAGTCGGCCGGTACCTGGAGCCGGCCCTGGCAATGACAAGGCAAACCAGTCTGATTTAAAGACAATGAGCCAAATTCAACCCTGGTGTAACTCCATCAGTGCCAAGAATTACATCAGGAATGAACATGGCCCCAGATGATTGCCTGAACTCTGAGAACTTCTAGGCATTTCCACTTAATATTACTCTTGACAAGACACATCAGCTAAAGGTAGGCTCTTGATTTAAGCTTTCTTTTAAAAAAAGGTCATATGAATAGAAATAACTTTCACCCCAATGAATGTGGCAATGAACACAGTTTTCTGGATTATTTTAATATTCTCTTGCATTATTAATAGTGCTAGTAATTATTTATGGTATGTTTCATCAGACTCTCTCAAAGTACTTTACAGTCAAATTAAAGCAAACAATATCTCCTCAAGGAAGGCCTTATTTTACAGATGAAGGAACTAAGGCACCAGTAAATAAAATGACTTATTTAAGGCAATTCGTTATGTCAGTTGCAGAATTGGGAACAGAAGTCACAGCTCTGACTCTGAGTCCTGTGTCCTACCTACCACACAAGGCTCATTGTTAATCCAGTCATAATAGTACTGTGCTCATTCACGAGAACCAGAAAGTGACAGTGACTAGACTTGTTTCATTGTTCATGCTGAGTGAAATGTAAATGGTAAAACAATATAGATATGTTTTGATTGACCTGAGTTTTCTAACATACCTACTAGGGGCAGAGAGGGAAGATAATAAAGCATCCA